AATGACTATTGTTCAACAATTGTTAAACAAAATCCAAAACATTTTGGATTCTTTGCTTCACTAATGACATTAACAGATGTCGAAGGTGTATTAGAGGAAATTGCATACGTATTCGATGTATTAGGTGCCGATGGAATTATATTATTTACATCGTATAATAATGGACAAATGTATTTAGGTAAGACCTGTCGAGATATCTATACTGTACAATGCATGGTACAGTCACCCGTTAGACTAAACTATTCATCATATAAGATGAAAGTCTACAGCACAGGAAAAAAATTTTTTTTTCCATTCTGCCAGCTAATATCTTAATTAGGATGATAATTAGCAGTTTTGACGAGGAAGAAAACATTTTGAGATCAAATTTCGAGAGATAATAGATAGTAGAATCTATTTCCTAATTTGTGACAGCCGAGCGGCTTGTCTCGCTAACGATCTCCATTGTTTGCTCTTTTTCAAAAAATTTATTGTAATGAAGCTACAAACGAATCTAAAATGGCAATTAGATAATTAAAGTAGAAAATGTCTTGCCTCTGAACATTGATTCGTTATGAAAATACAGCTGTTGTTCAAACAACCCAAAAGATCGATTTTGGGGCTATCTAAAAAGCGTGTCTAAAAGTGTGAAGACGAGCTTGCAAAAACTGAACAAGTATACCACTTTGTGGAAAATTGTTTGTTCTATAATGTGTGATAGCCTGTCAAATTCGAAATTATTCTAATTAATCTGTATCAATCCAAGAAAAACCGTGAGGCTACTTTTGACTGTTTTTGGGCTATCTGTACAACAGCTGTATTTTCATAACGTATCAACGTTCAGAGCCGAGACGTTTCATTTTGTAGAGAAATGTTTATCTACTTATTTTATGTAGTTGCCATCTTAGTTTAGTTTGTAGCTTCACTGCAATAACCTTTTGAAAAAGAGCAAAAAATGGAGGTCGTTAGGCAGCGAGATTCTGTAGAATTCGACCTTCAATCAAAAAAAGTAAATTTGATGTTTTCACGATAAGCACTAACTTTTAGGAGACAGTGACTGAAGGAGAAAAGTTGCAGATTTAAATTTTGCTACGTTCTACTCCCTAGAAGTAGTGACCAGATTATTGCAATGGAAAAAGGATACCTCTTTATTCTTTGATCAAGACAATGATTCTTCCAAGTACAGATCACAGATTTCCGAGACCAGAAGACGAGTTTTTCCAGCACTGGACACTTCTGCAAAAAACATGGTCTTCATAGCCAAAAAGGGATTTTAAAAACGAAAAGTCAGGTTTTCAAAAATATTAACCTTTTCAGAAATTCCTTTTTCTTGATGAAGAAAGTGCTTTTTTTACAGACAGATTCAGAGAAAACTTTTATCCTCTAATCGCTTCTTCGTACAAGTCGACGCCTTGCTTGAAAACATTAAACTCACGTCTTTTGTTTGAAGGTCAGTTTCTAGAAATGTTTGACAAGCAGAAAAAAATTAGCAAATTGATTTTTCTAACAGATCATTAGTTCGATGCCAGTCTCAAAAACGCTTTCTTGGTTGTTAAAAACGTTAATTATTCTTATTTAGCATACAAACCTAATTTAGAGAAGCGAAAGAATACTTTCTTTTCTACGAATTTTGACACTATACGATGTATAGCATAGTCTAACTGGTAACTACCAACTACTAGATTGTCTAGTTTAATGGGAGACGACTGTCGAATTGCATGTCTAATTTAGGTCATCCGATATTCAAACCAATTTGGTCTGAATTAAATAGACGTCACGCAGTAGTTTTCATTCATCCGACGTCAGCGTCTTCTCCAAATGGTAAACCAAAATTAATTAATTCAATGTTACCAATACCAGCAATTGATTTTCCGCATGAAACAACACGTACAGCAGCAGATCTGATTGTATCAAAAACAATTGATTCAAATTCAACATGTAAAATAATCTTATCACATGCTGGCGGAACACTTCCCTATATAGCTGAACGTATAGCAGGTATTGCCGGTGATATAAAAACATTTAATTCAAACGGTCTGACAAAAGAATCAATTATGAATGGTTTTAAAAACTTTTATTATGATACAGCACTGTCAACTGGCAGTTCAACATTACATGGTTTAACAGATTTTGTTAATTCATCAAAAATCTTATTTGGATCCGATTTACCTTATATTCCAGTGTCTTTGAATGAAAATATTATCGAATCATTGGAAAATTATTTTTTAAAGAATGATAATAGAAATTATTTAGAAAAAATTAATTTTAAAAATGCAATTAATATATTTCCACGTTTAAAAGCTTTATTTCACGACAAATAGTCAAAAGGTAGTTGAATAAATCAGAGAGTTTTGTGCGTTTGAATTTATCGATCGACGAATCTCTCTGTTTTGACTTACACCTTTTTTTATCTTATGTTTCAACTAATATTTGTGAACTGTACATTCATTTCTATTACTAGTCTGTCATTTAATTAATTGAGTTAAAAGATAATTCCACGGATCTTCAGTACTTTTGCGCATGACGCTTTTATCTTAGCGTCGCGTTTACACTCTAAAGAAAAGCTTCTCAAAATCAATTTTTTTATCAACATGTAGTTCGCACTCTGTACTATCGACTGATGTAGTTTTCATATTTAATCTGTACTTATACAACGTAAAAAAAGATTTTATCAACTATTCTGAAAATTTTGCCGACCTGAGAAAATTCACTATTCAGTCTAATGGGCCTACAAATAGTAGCAATGAATATTTCTGACTTGTTGTATGTGCAAATATAATAGAGAGAGTGAACAATATTTTGGTGCAAACCGCTTCTCCAAAGCTTTTTTCGTTATCGAGTTATGATCATAAATAAAAGAGGATCGAAGTGTATGGAAAATTTTTTGTCTCCACTCATCGGAAACTAAACCAAAAGAATAAAAACTAGAATTCCACGCTGTAACACACCTAAATCATATTTTATGCTTTTGCTTATGTTTACGTTTTGACCGAAAAATAATTACGATAAATTATAGAAAACGACAATGAAGAGTCAATCAACTTTTAATTACCAATATAGTTTTCAAAAATTTTGACAAAAACATAGGCGTTGACAAAACTAGTGTATTCGAACGTCTTCAACTTACATGGAGAACCTCAAAGAACACGTTAGAAATATCAAATCATATAAGGCCTTAAAAAGGTGTCAGTAGAAGAATTTTAACCACTTAAAGCCGGACAAATACTAATTTTAACGCCTACGTACCACCGGAAAAATTTCAGAATTTCTTTCTGAAAAATATTCACATGAAAAATATTATTTAGTATAAATCAATGAAGAATGACAGGTTTAAACTCGGTATTGGACATTCGAAATTTCCACAAGGATCTTATGATTGATCTTTAAATCTGTCTGCAATGAAGAACGACAGGTCTAAACTCTGTCAGAGACCAGAACCTGCCCTGTCACGCAAAAAGACAAGATTTACAATTTTTATGAGTTTTATTGCAAAAACATTTTTGGTTA